ATCGAAATGTCGGTATTCCCTTGTTACCCAAGAATTCGGGCTTTTTTCGAAGATAAAAAGCTGAGGCATTTCTTTGGATTATTTCATCTGATATCGTCAAAGTTGGCAACCAAACGAGTGCCACCGGAAATGAAATAAATGATTCTTCTTTACTTACCAGGAATACCTTCCTGATATACAAAGTAATTACTGTATCTAGGAAGTAAATAGGGCGTATATTATGTTTCTTTTTATCGTTAAAGTACTTTTGTAAATCATCGGATAAATTTATTAAATTCCTGTATATTCGTTTAACGACAGATGGATTAGAGTTACGTTTGGAGGAGATCTCATCGTTTAAAATTTTTCGAATTGATTCCAACGGTTCCTCAAAGTCCACGATTGGATCGATTTTAATTTTACAATCAAACAATGTATTGTCATTTAAATCATGACAATAATTAAATTCTTTCATTTGAATCGAAAATCTTGCAAGTTTTTCAGGAAACATTTCGATTTCTTTACGAACTATGAATTTGATGTCATTTACGGAGAAAACCAAATCTTCAAAACATTTCAATTGAATTCGTACGATAATTCTTGAACAAATTAAGATGAGCGCATAATCTAGTCTATCCGGGGAAATCGTGTCAAAATCAATTAAGCACCTTTTTTCGCGTCGAGTGATGGTGCTCATTACTTGGGACATAATTGATTATGACGTAAGTAAAAAACTTGAGCACTAATTTACAATGAGGAAAAAGAAAAAGTGTTTATTTATAAAGGATTGAATAATTTTTTTGTTTTATACAAAGAGCACGCCATTTTTCCAAAAAATGTAAACTGTAATCCTTCAAAGTTATTATTTACTAATGAAGTGAAACCTCGGAAAAATCTAGTTTCACTACCCCCTATAGGTTCCAAGAAAATATTACCATTTTAAAGCTAAATTTATTTTATTTTTTTTTTTTTGCGTTAAAAAATCAATTTATATATAATTCTTGTTTTGAATTTTTGTACATCAAATATTCATTAGGTGTGTGTGACCAAATAGGGTTAGCAGATTTTTGATTTTCCGCTTTTCCGTTCTCTCTCAAAACTTTAATTCGTTCCCTTGAACAACAAAAAAGGTTGAACACAAAAACAGAGGCAATACTTTCCTAAACTGAGATTAATTATTTATATCAGTTTATATAACGTACGACCTGGTTGTTTCAAATATTTAAGGGATTTTATTAAATGATTTAGAATTTTCGTGGTTTAAAAAGAGAATTTAACGTGAAGTTTTGATTAATCCTTTTAATTGATGAAGTGCATGCATGACAGCCGAAAAGTGACGAAATTGGAGTTAAACGGACTTTTTTTTTATATATTTAGAAATTCCATTTCTTTAATTGTAAGACGTGACATACGCTAAATTTGATTTCCTGTTTTTAAAAATTTAATTTGGGCTTGTCACACGAGTGATCTTTATTAGAAAGAAAAATTTATGTAGCACACTGCGCGATGACATAAGTTATGTTATACATGGCTTTTCATAATCTACAGGTCAAGTTTGAAACGACTACCAAGAAAAAACCGACAAATGGAGATAAAACAAGATTGGTCAGAAAATGAAATGAAGGACATTTTTGTTTGGTAAGGGGCAGATAAATTCAAAAGAGTCTTTATCAGTCGATCGCTTCCAAAATTGCAGTAGAAATAATTAATCGTTTCGTTATCAGAAAACGTAAAGTTCTGTAATATTTAGATACGTATTAGTCTGAAGAGGTCTATCCTTTCAAAAGAAAGGTTTAATACCTAAAAATCACATTTAATCCAAGGTTTGTTTAGTAATAATCTCTTTTGGGGATTTGCGATCGTATCATATTAATTTTTAGTGAAATATATCGCAGAAAGACGTTTTATATGCAACATTATTATTTGGGCAGAACGTTGACGATTTTAAAAATGTGAGTGATGAAATTACATAATTAACTAAAATTAGTCCGATATACATAACTTATTATTAGGACCATGCACTAATATGTTTGTCTCGAGCTCCGCATCGCGTCATTCATTGAATTTTTAAATTACAATCAAAGTGGATATTAACAAAATCTATTCGGTTATTTTTTTTGAAAGATAACGTAATAGTTTATCCATAAAACTAATATAAAATTTAAACTATATTTGATGTCAAAGAAAGAAAGAATGGGATAGATATTTATTTGAAAATGATATATTAATTATATGAGAATAAACAATAAATTTAATAATGTTCTTAAAATAATTTATTTTTCTTGGAAATTGTTGTGTATAATTTAGGTTAATTTTAATTCGATAATTTGTATAATTAAACGAATGGAAGTTTAAGTATATACATTTACTAATAAAAAAAGCGAGCAAAATATTTTAAACCTTTTGCGTATTTAAAAAAATAATCCATTGTTTAAACTCAAAATTTATTGACAATATTAATGAGGCCACAAGTATGAAGAATGCCGTAGCAAAGCTATGGAAAGGAAATTTTGAATAAAATATATTGCGCGGTGATCCAATTTTGGCGCAGTAAAAACGAGTAGAATTTTTAAAAAAAAAATAAAATGCTAACCAATCATATTTCGTAAATATTTTAAAACTTTAACAATCTTAACAGATTTTTGTTATCAAAGCATTTCATAAATTTCTAAATTTTAAATAATGACAAATAATAAATGTAAAGTTAACGAAGTTTAGAATTAAATAATTCTTCAGTATATTTCCATCATATTTCAGCTTGTTTTCCATCTTGAGGTGCCGCAGATTTCTTTCCAATTTTACCAAATATTGATTACAGTAATCTTTTCAACAATTTCAGGGCTTGTCGAAAGATCATTAATTATTATTAATCAAAAGTATAATAATCGAGACTGATTCCGTATATTTATTTCCAAATATGAAATGAAAGTTTATAATCAGAGAGCACATTATAATTTTCGAACTAGAATTATCTATTTTGATGACTCTTGACTTTACAGTTTAACTATTATTAGTTGATATTTACAGTGACGTAAATTTCATAAAATAAAGGTCTTGTTTTAACTTTTTTAAAATATAAAGTATCAGAAAGTACAATTGCAGCCGAAGTAAATAAAATTTCAAATCAATTAAATAAAAAATTTTTATAATTTAAAATTTTTTAAATTTGAAATTTAACTATAAGGTGGAAATTTGCTTAATTTAGTATGCATCATACCATGCCGCCTCGTAATTATTAGTAACTTGCATAATACAATTCTCAAAAAAAAAAATATAATAATTAAGTTATGATAAAATTTAATACTTAAAGTGCTGTGCCTCAAATACTGCGATAAAGATCTTCATATCTTGACACAATATGTATCACCATTATCGTTATACAAGATAATTTTTTGTTTGGTTGGAAAAAAAAAATTTTTTTTAATTTAAAATAAAGCTTTCTTTTAAAAATAATAACAATGTCTGATAGTGACAATAAAGGTAAAAGTTTAATAGAAAAACTTAAAAATATTTTCATCAAACAAAAAAAAGGAATAAAAGGTATGAAGCTCGAATGAATTTAGTTGACGGGTTAGATGATTTGATTTCAAAAGAAAATATTATTTCATTAATTCACAGAGTCATTTTCGGATGTTATGGAAGTGTCCTCACTAGAAGAAATAGAAGGTAACGGTAATTCCATGTATTATTAACCACATTTAAATATTATAATTATACTCATTTTTATTCAAAATTTTATCAAAACATAGAATCAGCTTCATGTGATGAAGGTAAACATAAATAATTAACCAATACCATTACCATGAAATTAAATATAATAACTATAATACTGCAATAATTTAAAATTTGAAATATAGGATTAGTTCCGAGTGATGATGA